TAAATATATACAATAATTTGTACTTTAAGAGAACTTTATCTTCTTGAAATATCATAACTAAAGAAAGATTTAAGGATTTCAACTATAAATTAATTCAGTTACGCTTTCGCATATAGTATTTATTTTATTTTTAATGATTTAACATTATTAGATCCTGCTTGATTTCACATGATTTAGTTCTAACACCCATGCTTAACCACCACAAACACCAACAATCTCATACGAACAACATGCAAGAAAATTACATAGGGCGACCCGACTCTCAGCTACGATTTCTGCGTAAACTCTCTGCAAGCAGCTCCCAACAACCACAGAGCCGACGATGTTCGCCAACTGGGCGATATATCGTTCACGCTGCTCCGTCGAAACTTGACGGATTCGAGGTGTCGCATTGAGCAGCTTTTGAAGCACAAAAAGATGGAGACTCCCATGAGAGTACGCGTGCAAGGTTGCCTCAAGCTTTATTCCCTTGCGACCCTTAGTGCCGAAGAGGCCTTCCAAGATTACAGTGCCAAGCGATACCGTGATGCTAATACCCACGTGAGTGCGGTCACGACTTACGACACGACTTGTGAAGACGGGTACAGGCTTGGTTTCGCCATTGACCGACATGAACAACGTTACTTCTCAGTTGTGTGCTATTTCGAATTCCATTGTCACCATGTTTTTCGATTGAATGACGATTGAATCTGTTTGATGTTTTATCATTGTCTTCAAGTTTTAAATTATTACCCTGATAATCAGTCTCTTGACGATGATGTAATTTTAATTTTGATCACATCAATATAATCCAAAACAATAAAGGAATTGCTCTATATTTCTACTTTCTTTTCTTTCTTTCTTCCACATAGGTTCAATTGGTTTTGAGGCATATGAATTTGGTTTTGTTCAATATTTGATACTGGTTAATTCTGTTCGAAATCGGCGGTTAATTAATTGAATTAACCGAAATTATTAAATATTAAATATATTAAATACACATTTTAAGCTATAACTCATTAAGAATTAAGACCCAAATATTTTTTAACCACATTAGACTCATTAAATTATTAATACCTAATTAAATTTTAACCTAAATAAAAAAATACTTCCATTATATTCAAATTAACCTAAAAAAAATTATAAAAAAGACCAAAATAATCAAACTTTATTCGATCGGTTAATATTTTCAACAAAAAAAAAAGGATTGATTCGGTTAACATTTAAGAAAAAAAGTTTGGTTAATTTGATTAATGAAAATTCAGTTCGGTTGGTGGTCGAATTAACCGTTTGAACACTCTACCCCACCAATTGGTTATTAAATGCAGTATTCGGATACAAGTAAAACATGACAGAAAAAAAAGTAAAAAATATTTTCAGTTTCAACATAATTAATAATTTTAAAATTTTAAAATAGTTTCATATATATATATATAAACTAAATTTAAGTTTTTTAAAAAATAAAAGTTAAAATATATAAAATCGTTAATATATATATATATATATACACACACAAAAATCCGAAAGAAATTATACACACACCTCATTAGCCCATACGGATAGCTAAAAAGATAAACTCAAGAGTAAATGGATCCTAACTCATATATATATATACATATATATACATATATATATATATATATATATATATATATATATGTGTGTGTGTGTGTATATATATGTATATTGTTGTTATTATTTAAGATAAATTTTTAATTTGATGATTATATGTATAAATTATTGTTAATTCTATCAAATAATTTATTTTTTAAAATATTTTTTTATTTTTTTAAAAAATAATTGATTTATATATATGAAGTTATTAATAAAAAATTAAAATTATTACTTAAGATAAAAAATAATTTAATGACTATATATATAAATTGTGGTTAATTTTATTATTAAATATATATATATATATAAATGTTAAAATTATTTTTTTAATTTTCTTTTTTTCTTTCGTTCATTATAATATGTTATATGTTGCGGTTTGAAACCAAGTTCTAGTTTACTGGTTTGGGCGTTGGTTTATAATCATACCCAACACAAGTTCAAATTTCATTCTCTCATTTTATGTGATTTCTTCTTCTACTATTAGTTTTCCATCCAATTCGATGGTGACATGTGTCATCATCAGATTGGATGAAAAATAAAATAATTAAATTTAAAAATAGCTTACATTCATGTTGTGAGACGTGTCAAAATATGATTAAATGATTACATTTATTAAATTAAATTTAAAATTCATACCAAATTGATTAAGTGTACTAGTATTGAGGATCAAATATGTAATTATATTTATTTTATTAACTGTCATGTAAATACTTCCGTTAAATACTAACGTCAGGTGACTATATTAGAATCAATTAAATAGTAAATCGATCATATTAACTTAAATTTGAAAATAAAGGTCATACTAACACCAACCTCATAGTTGGGTGGTTCTTGAAGTAGTTTACCCGAAAAAATGTTGTGCGATTATCTCTTAGGTAAAATATCTAAACCTTTGCGTAAACTATACCATTGGTCATTCAATTTATTAAATACTTCAACTACTAAAAGTTATAAAATTATCATTTGATTATTAAAAGTTACAAAATTATCATCCGATTATTCATTATTTTTCAAACTTGTCATTTGTCATTAAAAAATTGACGGTATTCTAAGCTAAACGTTAACATACTGACTGACTGTGACATGATAAAATTTGATCTTAGAATCTCAAACGATTATTACAATATAGTCATCATTTTAACATCCAACTTAGATAACACCAATTTTTCAAAAGAAAAGGACGAGGTTTAAACATAATGAATAGTCAAGCGACTATTTTATAACTTTCAATAGTCGAAGGACTTAACAAAGCAACATTCTATAGTCGAAAGATCATTTTGAAACTTTTAATAATCGATGAACTTAACAAAACAACATTCTATAGTCGATGAAACATTTGTACTTTGCCCTTTTTTATTTAGTTATTAATATTTACAAAACAACATGAGTTATGTAACGCTATAATTGAGATAAGTTTTGAAAATTAGTTGATGTGAATGCATTTTCGATATTTAATAAAAAAAATGGAATAAGCATTACTTTTCCAGATTATTAAAAGAAACAAATCACTTGAAAGAAAAAATTGTTATGCATACCTATTACCTGTAATTGAGATAAGTTTTGAAAAATGTTATGCGTATAATTGAGCTAAGGTCGTCTTCCTCCTTTGGCATCCCTCTCTCTCTCCTTGCTCTTTATTTCCACTCTAACCTCCCATGGCTTAACTCCCACCGCCAGCAATCTCATACGAACAACATGCAAGAAAATCACAGAGGGAAACCCAATTCTCAGCTACGATTCCTGCGTAAACTCTCTGCAAGCAGCTCCCAACAGCCACAAAGCCAAAGATGTTCGCCAGCTGGGCGATATATCGTTCATGCTGCTCCGTCGCAATGTCAAGGAATCGAGGTCTTACATTAAGAAACTTTTTAACAACAAAAAGACAGAGCCTTCCATAAGATCATGCTTGGATGTTTGCCTCCAAATTTATGCCCTTGCGATCTTTGATGCCAAAGAGGCCTTCCAAGATTACAATGCCAAGCGATACGGTGATGCTAATACCCACGTGAATGCGGTTGGGGTTGCCCCCCACGACTTGTGAAGATGCGTTCAAGGAAACACCAGGCTTGGTTTAACCATTGACCGATATGAACAACGTTACTTCCCAGTTGTGTGCTATTACGAATTCCACTATCGTCATGTTGAGCGCTTGAATGGTGATTGAATCTGGTTGATGTTTTATCATTGTCTTCAAGTTTTAAATTTTTACTCTGATAATCAGTCTCTTGATGATGATGTAATTTTAGTTTTGATCACATCAATATAATCCAAAACAAAAAAGGAATTGCTCTATATTTCAGTAGCTTATGCAAGCAGCCACTTTCTGTGTTTTTTCTTTTTACTGGCATCAATGGCATCGGTACCTACTGGTCAACCCCTAAACGTTGAGAATATATGAAGATAACATCAAAAGATTTTATTGCAAGTCGAAACATTTGCAGCTGTTTGGTGTAAAAAAACAAGTTAAGACTTCGATGATCACGTTTAATCCTCGTTTATACAACACCTATGATGTTCAACATCTCATTTCTTCCCCAATGGAGTTCCAACCAGCCACTGGGTGCATATATATATATATACTCTGATTACGAGATTACACGTATGGATCGATCTTGTCCGGAAATTCCAGCTCGAACGCCTCTGCTAAAGTTCCAAGCTATCCAATCCCGAATGCCATTTCTGAGTTCTGTTTCCTGTGAAACCCAACCTTTGGCTTCTCACTGCTGCTGATGGAGGAGCTGATCATGTGCTTTATCAGTAAACCTAAAGAGGTGAAAAATCATTAATATGTCCAACACTGTTCACGCTTATTAATTTCTGCTGCCTTTTATTAAGCCTTGGAGTCGCCGCCATTAAGAAGATAGGCACACCAGGCCACCATCAACTGCATGGCATTATGCCATCTCATTAATGCTGGTCCTCCGGGCCTAATCGCATCAAACTTTCAAGAAATTTTCGCCCTTTGCTTGTTATAGTTTCACTGAGATACTCAACAGAGGCAAGAAGGAATAACAAAACAGGAAACAAGATTACTGAATTCACTTCATTATGTGATATTTCTTCTCAATCACAAAGAGCTATACTTATACAATTGATAGAAGTAGTTCTAGAAACTCTAGTGGAAGCTTTAGCAGTCTCAACTGTTAACCAACTGCCTTAACTAATTCTAACAAACTAACAGTGAGATGCCAACTAATCAACCGACTCACCTAGAACAATGCACACTAACATTCCCCCTGCTGCAATCACCTCTTTGTTTAAGAAAACAACTCCACGAGACCAAGATAATGCACACTAGCATTCCCCTTGCTGCAACCACCTCCTTGTTCAAGAAACCATCTCTACGCGAGACCGAGGTATACACAGCATCACGCATCATTACTCCCCGTACTACAGACTCTACTTGTCTACTCTTCAACCCTTGAGACGTGAGACTTCCCTGGAACTTGAGACACAAGCAGCCGCTGTCGATGTTTGAGAAACATAGGAGCAGACAGTAGATTAGTTAGAATATCAGCTACTTGTTCAAAGGCAGGAACCTCCTGAACAGAGAGTTTTCCAACAGCTACCATCTCTCTAACAAAAAACAGATCAAGCTCAACATGTTTGAATTTGGAATGAAGAATTGGATTCACACACACTGCAACAGCACTAGAATTATCACACCACAAAACAGGTTTACCATGGACAGTCACACGAAGTTCACTCAAGAGAGACTCAAGCCATGCCATCTCAGCAGCAGCACACGCCACACTGCGATACTCGGCTTCTGCAGAGGAGCGAGCTACCACCTGCTGTTTACGAGAGCCCCGTGAGACTAAATTCCCGGCAAAGTAGATGCAGTAACCGGAGGTCGAACATCTGTCATCTGCATCTGTTCCCCAATTTGCATCTGCAAATCCTGTCAAAGACAAGCGAGGTGATGCTGAAAACCGAAGACCAAAGTCGACAGTGGCCTGTAAGTATCTTAGTATGCGCTTTACCGCCTGAAGATGAACATCACACGGAGATTGCATGAATTGGCATACTCTATTTACTGAAAAAGCAATATTGGGACGAGTGATAACAGCGTACTGCAACGCACCGACTATACTCCGATACTGTGTAGCATCCTCAATCGGTGACCCGATATCAGCAGTCAATTTCCAACCCGTAGCCATAGGTGTAGGGAGTCCTTTAGCATCTTCGAGGCCACTCTTGCACAGGAGATCACGTATATACTTCTACTGGCTTAGAACGATTTCACCACCTGTTCGACATACCTCGATTCCCAGAAAAAAATCCAAACCCCCCAGATCTTTTAAAGCAAATTGACCATTAAGTTTATTAATCACATCCTATACTTCTTGTTCACAAATTCCAGTTATAATAATATCATCGACATATACTAACAGATACATAATGTTGCCAGCAGTTTCCCTGACAAAAAGCGAGGCATCCGACCTTGACAAGACAAACCTTTGATCCTGCAAATACTGCTTGAGCTTATCGAACCACGCTCGAGGAGCCTGCTTCAATCCATAGATGGCTTTGTTGAGTTTGCAGACCACATTACCATCACCTTGCTCATAGTCTGGGGGTTGCACCATATACATGTTCTCAACTAAGTCTCCGTTTAGAAAGGCATTATTGACATCAACTTGTCTTAACGACCACCCTTTTGATAATGCAAGTGATAAAACAACCCGTACAGTTGTTGGTTTAACCACGGGACTGAAAACTTCATGGTAATCAACTCCTGGTTGTTGTAGAAAACCCTTGGCCACAAGTCGAGCTTTGTGCCTTGCTATGGAACCGTCAGCATTCCTCTTGATTTTAAAAATCCATTTGCAGCTTACTGGTTTCCTACCACTTGGGAGAGAAACAAGTGTCCAAGTGTTATTTTTTACTAGAGCATCGTATTCGGCTTGAGCTGCAGCTTTCCATTCCAGACTGTTCATAGCTTCTCGAATCGTCCTCGGCTCTTTATCAGAGTAGGCCACTTGAAAAACTTTAGGTTTCCGAATTCCACTTTTACTTCGGGTTATCATAGGATGAACGTTATATTGCTCTACACCAAACTGTTCTCCATCAGATTGTGACCCTTCACAGAGTCCTAGCTCATTTCCAACAACATTACTACTTGATGCAGAAAAATCAAGCTGTCTTAGATCAACTTCCTGAGTAGATGCTATTAATACATCACTTGTATGCACATTGTCCTCTACAGCAGCAACAGCCGGTGATGATGCAGGATGCTGTTCATAGTCACGGGCTAAATTTGATGTTACGTTGACAGTCTGATCTGAACCTTCAGTTGACTGTATTATAGGTAAAACGGTGATCGAGGGACTCGTGTTACCACGACGTTGAACAACTGACTTTTCTTCAGAATAAGGGAACACTTCTTCATCGAACACAATATGGCGTGACATTAAAATTCTCCCATTCTCATCTAAACATTTGTACCCTTTGTATGACGAGCTATAACCAAGAAATACACATCGTTTCGACCTGAAATCAAGCTTGCGTTGATTAAACGGCCTCAAAAGAGGAAAACAAGCACACCCAAAGACTTTAATCATTGAATAATCAGGAACTTGCTGATAAAGAACCTCAAAGGGTAATTTTCCATTCAACACTTCAGTTGGCAGCCGATTTATCAAGTGTACTGCTGACACAAAAGCATGACTCCATAACTTCAAAGGTAGTGTTGCCCAAGTTAGCAAAGCTAAACACATCTCGACAACGTGTCTATGCTTCCTTTCTGCTTTCCCATTCTGTTCAGAGGTACTCGGACACGAAATCCTCTGCTGAACACCATTTACAAGAAACCAGCTTTTAAGGGCTTGATATTCTCCACCTCCATCAGTCTGTAGGGCCTTAATTTTATAGTCAAATTGAACTTCAATCATCTTTAAAAAACTAAGAAAGCACTGCATAACTTCATATTTCCTTTTAAGCAGATAAATCCAAGTGTGCCGACTATAAACATCAATGAAAGAGACATAATAAGCAAACCCATCAGCAGAAATAGTTGGAGCTAGACCCCATACATCTGAGACAACCAACTGAAATGGTTTATTATACTCAGTTAAAGACGTACAAAACGGAAGTTTATGAGCTTTGCTTTGTAAGCAAGCTGTACAAACACGAGACAATTTATTTTCACTAGGGACAATTTTACACGCCTTCATTACAGCTCGAACAGCAGCTATCGAGGAGTGACCCAGACGCTTATGCCACAACTCTAGCGAGTTGGACGCTTTCAAGATGTGGTTCAACTACCAGCTTTTATCCCTCGTAGTGTGTGGCAGTAGTTGATATAGTCCATCAGGCGTGAGCCTCCCTTTCAACAGAACCTCATGAGTCTTCATGTCCTTCACAAAGCATTCAAATGGGTGAAATTCGATAAAAACCTTATTGTCACGCGTGAACTGTGACACAGACAACAAGTTCTTCTTTATACTCGGCACATGCAGCATATTTTGTAATAGCAAGGGCTTCGAATTGCTTAGTAAACATGACTGTCCTATATGAGAGAACGTAATACCCTCTCCATTTCCCATGAGCAATGTATCTTTACCTGTGTAAGTAGTTCCAGAGTTAAACACAGATAGATCATTGGTGATGTGGTGTGTTGCTCCTGTATCCGGATACCAGATCGTGTTAGCCGTGTTGGTGGAAACATTACCAGAGGGTATTGTGGAGACAAAGGCCGTTGGTGAGGAGGACATTCTCTTTCCAGTAAAATCACCAGAAACTGTATACATATGAGCCATTGACACCGGATACGGGACCTGAGAAGAGAACATGTGACCACCTTGATAATAGGGCACTGATCCAAACGGCTGCACACTGGGAAAAACCGAGTTAGCAACAGGATAGTAAAAAAACACAGGAGATTGAGGGAACACATGACTCATCGAGTGCCCATATGCGTGAATGCTAGTAGTAGTCTGCTGTTTGTCATCCGAGACACTGCGAGACTGTTTCGACCCATTATTAACTGACACAGAGGAGTCAGCCACCCCGGTATACTCACGATCAAACCTGTGATAGCACTTCTGAACCACATGACCAAATTTTACACACAGTTGACACTAAGGTCGATTAGAATTATTAAAACAACCACGGCCTCAACCACGGAAGCTATCACTTTGTTTACTCCTTACTGGATTAGATTAAGACTGAATATTACCAGCCATGGAACTCGATTCTTAAGAGTCCTTATCATCAGAGCGAGTTGCCATATTAACAGATGCACTCTCACATAGAAATTTTTTTTTTCGAGCTTCACAGTCAAGAAACATTTCGGTTAAAACATCTAACGACAACGAATCACACGAAGCTATAGCAAAGACATACTCAAATTCCATGGATAATCCAACTAAGAGAACACTGATGTGTTCTTGTTCAATTACTAAACTCCCTGCAGCATTGAGCATGTCGCAAATGGATTTTACCTTGGCTAGATATTCGCTAACTGTCGAGCCAGCCTTCCTTTGCGAATGAAGACTATGTCGAAGAGCAATCACATTCGTACTAGACCTTGCACCAAACAGTCTTGTGATGGCACTCTAAATGGTGAGTGTGGATGTCAAACCAGTGAGATGAGGAAGGACTTCCGTACTTACTGTGGTTAGGAGCCAAGCGGCTAACAATTTATCTTGCTGCCTATAAACCACAAAAGCGAGATTTTCTTCTTCTTATCCTGACTCGTTCACAACAGTCTCACTCGGAGCAGAAGCATCATTAGACACATATTTCAACAATCCATATCCATCAATAATCAACATTACTTGATGTTTCCACAAGAGATAGGTACTTTCAGACAATTTCACAATATCATGCTTACTTGAACTGTTAAACTAGCCGAAGAAGAGGCCATAGGAAGGTAACTAGCAAGAAATCAACAAGAAGTTGAGTAGAAAACACCTTACCACCTACTCACAATGCTCCAAGAGTTGCAACTACCAAGAAGAACCAAGCTTCCACGCATTACGCAAAGTAAAAGGAAAGAAATACCGAGCAGCGGATAGCACGATACTCCACATCGTGGCGAATGATACCATGTTATAGTTTCACTGAGATACTCAACAGAGGCAAGAAGGAATAACAAAACAGGAAACAAGATTACTTAATTCACTTCATTATGTGATATTTCTTCTCAATCACAAAGAGCTATACATATACAATTGATAGAAGTAGTTCTAGAAACTCTAGTGGAAGCTTTAGCAGTCTCAATTGTTAACCAACTGCCTTAACTACTTCTAACAAACTAACAATGAGATGCCAACTAATCAACCGACTCATTCTAGAACAATGCACACTAACATTGCTTTCCAGTAGCATAAGAAGCTCACTCCTTAGATTGCGTTGTACGGTTGCAGTTTTTTTGCCTGGGACTGGAAGAATTCATCAGATATAATTAAGATCAGCCGATTTAGCCGTATCGTATTGGTTTTGGTACCAGTTCATTCGAGTAACATTTTTAAAACTACAGAAAAGCGTAATTGTATTTGGCCAAATTGAAAACCTCAATTTGATAAGGTGAAACAAGCAAATAGCTTACTGCTCTTAGTGGTTTTAATTGACTGTGCCATGTCAGCAAGCTTCCTGGATCTGTTCGCCGGAAACCCCGCCGCGGTGGCAAGCTGGGGCTTCATTGGCGGCTTACCATTGTCGGTGAATGACGTCAGGTGGCAACCCGCCCTTCTGGTTCCAGTGCGGGTTCGGATTCGCCCTCACCAGCGGGCTCAAGTAAAAGGCCAATCCCGATGAGTTCCCAGCCCCGCTCCTTGATCTCCTCGCCGCCTTCGGTGTCCTCTTCCATCGTGGGGAAGCCTCCGGTGAGATTCTCGATGATAGTCGATGACATTCGTCTCCCGAAGCTGCTTCAATCGCTGGCGACATTCCCCGATCCGAGACCCTGGATGGTTTTCGATTCCCTGGACCGAATTGACCAAATTCTTCTACGCGAGTTGTCCCCGAAGATTGGTTCTTTTTTCGACGAACAGCAAAGAGTGCCGAGAACAAAGACGGCGATGATGAGGACGGTTCACCGGACGAGTCCCAATTATAATGAACACTAGGATCCGAATTAAACTTCTCTGATCTCAATCTGAACAGATCCGAAAAAAACGAGAACCTGTTTTTCTTTTTGAAAGAGCCGACCGCTTCAAAATCGCCGCTAGTTTCGGTGCCGTGGGTAGGCCCCACCTGAGGAGTGTGGTAAAACCGCTGGTTGTGGATCCAGTTGGCACCGTCGTCTCCAGATTTCCGTCTACTAACGTAAGGAGAAACAGACCGAGGGAAAATCAGCGGCGGTGGGTCAGGTTTCCGAAGACTCTCGGCAGCGAGTGCTAATTGAGCTTGGGCAGCGAGGACCGCAAGAAGACGTTGCCGGAGACAAGTGGCGCAGACGCCGACGCTGCTGCTCAGGTCAGTTAAATGTTCCTTGCACCTCATTTACTCAAAAAAAAAAAGTTTGCTCATATATAATGTACTAAAAAAAGAGGAAAAAAAGAAAAACCCTTTGGTTTTTATGCAAGTATAAACAGAGTATACGTAATCATAGTATGAATGGCTATGGCATGAGTGGGTTCTATGCTGCAAAACGAAGAGACCATGAACAAATAAAAATGGAAAAGTGTGTCCTTTTTTCCAAGTGCTGGAGAAGACAGACTGCTTGGCGTTGGAGTTTATTTATTGGGTTCTTCTTGCTTGATAGATATCCCTTTCTCCATTTGATTATGGTAGTTGTTGCCAAATGTACGGAGGGTCCTTTCCCAACAGCAATTTAGTAATTAGTAAATGTAATTCTTATTGATATTATTTAAATGTTTTGGTTTTTTTTTTTTTTTTTTTTTTGGATAGGTAACGTTTTGGTTTTGAGTATTAGTGATGTGAATTTTTTATGTCAAAAAGTTAAAATTTATTTTTAGATATTATCTTATATTTATCATATATTAATAAAAAAGATATATTATATCGTTCCTCATTAAATTATATTCTCTTTTTTATTTTTCTCACACAACTTTTAATTTTTTTAATTTGCTCATTGAACTTTATAAATTGAATCATTTTGTTCACTCTCCCGTTAATTTTATAATGTTTTTGATGACGTGACATTTTTATTATGTTTTAAAATAAAATAATTGAAAAAAAAAATAGAAGGTAGTCGGATGTAACCATCAACTGTCGTAAATGGTGGTTGTTTGGTCCTAAATTTCATGGGTCGCTTTGCCTCAACATTGCGATTTCGAAGCCGACCATTTCTTCAGAACTTGCTTCGAAGTCAATGAATTTGAGATTGAAAGTGAGGGAGCCAAAACGTTTCAGTCGATATTAATGGATTTTGGGATATTTTTCAGTGAAACAACCATCAGATTCATACTCAGGGGTTGAGATGAAACAACCCATGAAATTTGGGACCGAATAATCATCATTAATGACGGTGGACGGTGGTCGTAATGAAAAATATGTGGCTGACAGAGAGAAAATTAATAAGAAAAGGAAAAAAAAAATGTAAAATACATCATTTCTCACTAAATTTTGCTCTCTTTTCCATTTTACTCACCGAACTTTTAATATAAGATTCAAAACAACATCATTTTAGTATATATTTGATTTTTTCAAAACGACATCATTTTTATGATTGTGTCCTATCAAAACACTGTTAAATAGTTAATGACATAGTGAGCAAAATTATTCAATCTGTAAAATTCGGTGAATAAAATAAAAAAATTAAAAGTTGAGTGAGGAAATTAATAGAGAGAGTATAGTTCAATGAGAAACATTGTAATTTATCCTAAGAAAAGTAATTACCTTCTTCACATTAACTATTTTCTACCGCTCTACAGGTAGTTGTTTTTAGCTGTAAATACCTTTCAATCTATTGTATTTGAATCAAGTTTATTCAATTATTAATTTAGACTTCATTTCAAGTTAGGTCAATTTCGAGTCTTCACCTTTTCATTTAGGAGTTTTGGTTGTTTTTTAATTTAAAAATGGAATTTAATTTTATTTATGCTAATGAATTTAAATTTATCAAGTGATCTTGATAATAAAAGATAATATTATTTTACTTAAAAATTTTGAGTTTAAACGGATGAATATGTGTATATCATGGATTGTTAAAAAAAATTCTAACAGGTACTGTATTATAATTTTTTCTTACTAAAATGTTAACGAATTTGAATTATTATATTGTTTTCAAGTCAAATAAGACTCCTAGAATGATAATATTAAGGACGACAACATGTAGAGTTTGGTTGGATTTTTAGTCAACCTGATTTGATTTAAAAAATATATATATTTAACATGAATTCGGTCTGATCCAATCTGAAAATATATATTCTCTATTAATTCTGGCTCGACCTGATTTTTTAGAATCTAAATACGACCAGACTCATTATAAAATATGGACTTAATTAAAAATAATAATAGAGAGAATGGGTATTACAACAATTATTCATAAATTTATTTAAAAAGTTTACACTATTACTATCAAGTTGGGTTAAAAAAATTTTACCCTCCACCTAAACTCTACTCGACCCGATCCTACTCTTTTATAAAACTCGACTTGATCTGAACTTAATTTTTTTTTAAAAATTTGATTTTTTTGGTTTAAATTCACATCCCTAGATAATATTTTTTGCCTTATTCAGCAACTTTTTAAAATCTTAAAACCCAATGCTGCTAAATGCTTTCCTTTTGGTCTCATCTTCCAAAAACAAAAAAATAATAATAAAAGTGCAAGTACTAACTTCCAAGTGGATCTTAATAATTCTCACGAAAGAAAGATCCAATCATAAAAAGCTTGATTAGGGTTTAGTTTATGTTTATGAAAAAAGATGGTTCTAAGAAAAGCTCAACATGAAAATAATTTCAATCAAGATATTTGATTAGCTTAAAGAATCAATTATGTCTTTGACGATATGTAGTACTTTTGAAAAATGATTTTTAAAAATACGGTAAAAAAACTTTTAAAAGCGCTGTTTAGTAGTGCGGTTTAAAATTTAATTGTTTGTGACTATTGTTAAAAAATAAGTTTGAAAATATAAAATGCCTATTATATATATTATAGTGTAATTTAAAAATATAGAATTTAAATTATATTTACATATTAATACTATGATATATAAAATATTTCACTTAAATTATAATAAAAACATAAAATAAATTAAAATAGTTATTAAGTAATAAATAATTAAAATAATTATTAAGATACATTAATTGGTAATAAATTATTTTTTAACGATGTTAATATTAAATTATTAAATAATAAATTATATTAATTTTTGAATTTAAATTATATTTACTTTTAAATAATTAAAGTAAATTATTAAGTAATACATTATTTTTCAAGGATGTTAATATTAAATTATTAAAATAAAACTTAACTATATAATTGAGTGGAGCCTATGCATTAATAAGGGTAAAAATATAATTTGCTCCCAAATACAAAGTTCAAAATGAAAAAACAACAAATTCTAGTTTTTGCGGTTGGTTTAAAACCGTCGTTTCTACCATAATTTTTTTTTATCTTTTTACTCTTTTGATAATTATTTTACGATCCAAACGAATTTTTTAACTAAAAGTATGTTTGAAAATCCACCACTTAATAACTGAAACTTATGTGGAGCTTTTTTGATTCTTCAATCATAAACAATACGATATAATGCAATAGCTGTTTTGAATACTTAAATTTAGTAATAACTTTTTATCTAATTAAATAATTGAACTTAGAATCTATTGTGCAAGTTATTTCAAACTGGTTAGTCTTTAAAAATTATAAGGGCTAATATACATATTAATGTGATGAATATAGAATTTTATACTACGGAATAAGTTTATAAAATCTTAAAGGAATGTAATTATAAAATTTTTAAAACTAAAAATAAATAATTAATAAAAATATATAAAGATTTTTAAATTATAATCTATATCTCATCGGTTTATCTCTATCTTCGTATTGATATTTATAGTTAATTTTTTTATTTAATTTTTTTTATTAATTTAGACTTTTAATCGTTTGATATTAAACGTTCACATCTTTTACAATTTTTGTACTTAAACCCAAGACCTTTTAATCATTTTTGTAAGGTGTTCATGTTCGATTCATATTTGTTTCAGTTTTAGTATCGTATTCATATTCGTTTATTTTTTAAAATATTTGTGTTCGTTTATTTATTGTTCACGAATATGTTTACTCAGTGTTCGTGAATGTGCTTGTTTATATGTTCACGAACTTATTCATTTAGTGTTCACAAATATGTTTATTTAAAAAATGTATGTTTAATGTTCATTTATCTATTCGTTTACAGTTACTTTATATGTTTAATTTTTTAATTTTACCTTTTCAAACTAAAGAATAATGATAAAATTACGTCATTAGTGCTTAAACTCTTTTTGGAATTCACAGTTTAAGTTTTATTTTTCATCATGTGTTCGATTTAGTCACTACTATCACCAATATTTAAAGTGTAAAAAAATGAAATCTCGATAAACGAACTTATTCATGAACATAAATAAATGAGTTGTTAAATGAGCTCATAAACGAGCTTATAAATGAGCTCATAGACGAGGTCATAAACGAGCTTTTTCATCAACATAAACGAACCAAACACACTTCTATTTGTGTTCATTCATTTATTAAATGCACATAAAAAAATTATTCACACTCGTTTGTTTAACTTAATAAACAAACGTTGTATGAACGGTTTATCAAACGTCATGATCATTTACACCCCTAAAAGTATTTATACAAAATTATTACATTAAAAAGTATAAAAATGTTTATAGTCATCGCCCATATCTACACCGCGTCGTCCACCACCTACAAGATGCCGGTGAGCCACAGCGTCGCTGGAGGATTCAAAACTCGAAATCTATCGGTGGAGATAAGACAAGAACCTCGGTTGAAAGTGGGCCAAGGCGGCACAAGTTTGGACACTGCAACGTTTGAAACGTGCAAGACTTGCTTTGTTCGGCCGATGTCTCCTACTTTCTTTCTTTAATTTTAATAATTCTGGTGGAAGTCTTTGAAAAAAAAAATACACAAGTCTAAATGCGATTGGAAATTAACACTTGGCAGATCTTTTTCCTTTAATGACACCTGTCAATTATGTGATTTATTCCTTTTATTATATATATTTTTCAACAGGAAACTAAAAGTTCAAGATTTATTTTTTTTACGAATTTGTAAAGATAATATTATAAACTAAAATTTGATTAATTTTAAATTATTTTAGGGCAAAGTTTCTTAATGGTCCCGATTATAGGATATTATTTTATTAAATCATTCAATTATTAAAAATTACAAAATGATCTTTCGATTATATAATGATACTTTATTAAGTCTCTCGACTATTAAAAATTATAAAATAGTCACTTTACTGTTCATTATATTCTAAACTCATATTTTTCTGTTTAGAAAATTAAAAGTTGTTTAAGCTGTACGTTAATATGATGATTAAGATATAATATTCGTTTAATATAAAAACGAGTTTTATTGTATCACAGTCGGCATATTAACATTCAGCTCAGTATATCATTCATTTTTTAACATAAAAGAACAAGTTTGAAACATAATGAATATTCAAGTGACTATTTTATAACTTTTAATAATCGATGAATTTAATAAAATAATACTTTATAATTAAATGATAATTTTATAGCTTTTAATAAAGAAGAAATAAATAAAGTATTACCCATGATCTGAAAATAAGAATGAAAGTTGATATTTCTTGGCTTTTTGTAAGAAGGTGAAGCTTTGAAGCAACCCAATTTCCTGAATTTTCTTTATAGCTTCTCCTCTCTTCTTGGAAAAAGATTGCTACTTTCTCTTAAAAAAACACACTTGCAAAGCAAAACCTAATGATAATTGTCTTCCAGAATTAGAGGTAAACACTCGCCGCTTCTTCTTTTTATTATTATTTAAAGGGGAAAAAAACAAATCTTTTTGCTGTGCCTGTTTCCTGAACAACTTCAGAAGCTCTGTTTTTTTATTGAAGAAGAAATTCTTCTCAGAAAAGCTTGGCTTTTGGTTTTGTTTTGTTATCATTTATTTAATGATTTTAAGCTCCTAGTTTAGGACAGTTTATGGATCACTGTTTTGATTGCTTTTTATATCTCTTAGAGTAAAGTTAGCTATTTTCTGAGATATTTTCTTGTGCCGATAATCACAGAGCCAAGTTTCTAACCATGCAAGCCATCTCATACAATTCCCCTCCATGCTGTAATTTGAATCGGAGATTACTAGCAAAGAAAAGCTCAGGTAGACAGAAATTAAAGACCCCTTTGTGTAGAAAACACAGAGTTTTATGCACTAGGGTTCTATCTAGACGTGGCACACTGGGGTTATCCGAAAAACATCGACTTTTTTTGAGGAACGCTTACCATGGGAGAGCTTCGAGGCCTTTCGAGGCTCTTGAAGGGGTTAACAATGTTGATTCGAAGGTTTTGAGCGGGAATTATGATGGTTATGTGATTGGTGGTGAAGATGAGGTTGGGGGGATGTCGAAAACCGGGGAGCCGGCGACTAAGGTTTTGATTCCGGGGCTACCGGATGAGTCCAACGGCGATTGCAGTGCTCGAATAAGCAGTTGTTTCTGGGAGTGGAAACCCAAATTCAATGTGCATTATGAGAAATCGGGTTCCGAAAATTCGAATTCCCCGCCGGTGCTCTTCCTTCCTGGTTTCGGTGTCGGTTCTTTTCATTATGAGAATCAATTGAAGGATCTAGGTCGTGATTATCGGGTTTGGGCGATTGACTTTCTCGGGCAAGGCATGTCATTGCCTGTTGAAGACCCCACTTCCTCTTCTAAGGAGGAGGGTATCACTGAAGGGAAGGATTCGCTGTGGGGATTTGGGGATAAAACTGAACCATGGGCGACCGGTCTGGTTTATTCGATAGATTTATGGCAGGATCAGGTTCGACATTTCGTAGAAGAGGTACACTTTCATATCAACTCTAATTTACATGTTTATTTATGTTAGGGAAGTCATATTCATATGTGAAAACTTGTTTCATCTTAATGTAGTTTTAATTGTGCAGTCGCTAATCCTTCCTGCATAATATTGTTTTTAATCTAGTACTCTAGCTAACATGGCTTCGGGATTATGAATTCGTAATCGTATAACCCGTTAGTTTCAGATAAATGAAATGTAAAGGCATCAATATAAACCTATGCTCTTTCGCTCGCAGGTTATTGGGGAACCAGTTTACATTGTAGGGAACTCACTCGGAGGATTTGTTGCTCTATGCATTGCAGCTCGCAATCCTGAATTAGTGAAGGGTGTTACACTACTTAATGCTACTCCTTTTTGGGGATTTTTTCCAAATCCTATAAAATCTCCAAGGCTAGCAAGGATATTTTCGTGGTCCGGAATGTTTCCTCTACCGGTAAACGTTAGGAAGCTGACAAAATTCGTGTAAGTTCTTTCTCCTTTTTATTTCACAATATGGCTTTCTCGCCTTGTAAAGTAACAGTCCACCGCTAAATTTTGTGCACTTTTAAACCCATGGATGTCACATGCTAATAATTATCGTATTGTGGTTTCTACTTGGAAAAGAGATGAAGTGATTATGCAATTGTTTTCTTCACTTTCTTTACTTTAAATCTCTTCTTGCTCGTTCTGAACTTCTTTTTCTGCCTTTTGGTTTCAGTTGGCAAAAAATAAGTGATCCCGAAAGTATTGCGGATGTACTTAGACAGGTTTATGCAGATCATTCTATAAATGTTGACAAAGTCTTTTCTCGTATTCTCGAGACAACACAACACCCTGCTGCTGCTGCATCGTTTGCCTCAATTATGCTTGCTCCTCAAGGAGAGCTTTCTTTCAGAGAGGCTTTATCGAGGTTGGTGGTATGAAATAACTTGTTTGGCCAAATCCATGCCTTCTATGTGGAAGGCATACCTATCTGCTCTAAGTTATCGACTTCGTGTTTATTTTTTGTTTTTACTTTCAGGTGTCATATGAATGATGTGCCTATTTGTCTCGTGTATGGAAAAGAAGACCCCTGGGTAACGCCTGTTTGGGGTCTTCAGGTGAAAAAGCAAGTTCCCGAAGCTCCGTACTACCAGATCAGCCCAGCCGGTCACTGCCCTCATGATGAAGTCCCTGAGGTATTTTATCACTGATAGGTTTGCTTTTCGCATCTTACACCGACAACCATTCCTTTTGGCACATAAGATCTCGGTCATGGATTTGTCTTACTAGGATCCTGTAGTATTGCAACTTGTTATTAAGTTTATGATCATACGTTATCATAACTTGTAAAGACAATACTACTGCAAATGTTAACGAATCCATCGGATCGGAGCTTGATTTTGTCATGCTCGTTATTTTATTTTGCGGTATGCTTGCAGGTGGTGAATTATTTGCTACGAGGGTGGATCAGAAACCTGGAATCGAAGGGCGCGGTTGCGTTGCCTATGCTCGATGACTCGGAAATGGAAAATATTCAGAGTAGCATCAGCAAGGACATGGAATTAGTGAGGGAAGGATCAAAAAAATGGGTAAAGGTGCGATTTTTAGGATCCAAATTCTCACTCTGGAACTTGATAAGATCTTACTTTAAACCTGGGTTTGGTAAGCTAGAAACCAGATCACCATAGCAGATGATGTAAATTTCAGCGTGTTTATAGTGACATAGTTGAATGTATGATTAATCATTTGATATATGATGATGGTTTGATAAAACCTTACCCCTTGCTCAGCTTGCATGCACAAGAGGTGCATTGAGAACGGCTGTCTGAAGGAACATCTCATTTTCGATACCACTGTCAATCAAAAATTATCACGTTGGAGAAATCGTGGTCTAATTCGACAGTAATTTCGACATGTTCAACTAAACTCACGTCATTAATGTTTTCCATTCAAAAAACATCACCACAGCGAAAAGACCAGCATGAAAAAAGGCTTCATTGTCTTGGTACGTAAATCGAAATTGACGTAAAATGAGAGAAGTAGCATGTGAAAACTCAGCTAAGCTAATCAGCATAAATTAGAATATTATGGAACATGTCAAGTAAAGCATACGCAATCCATGCCATAGTTATTGCTTAAAAAATCTTTGGGGCTCCAATTTGGCGGGATTCTTCCTTCATCAAACATTTTACCTCTTTCCAATCCAAAAGTAGAGTCTCGAGGTTTGAGATATATTACTTGCGAAAATCGTCAAATCTCCGTTTCCAGTTTCGCAAGAATACGCTTCAAGAATCGAGACCCAGAAAAGAAAAGAAAAACATCCCACTTTTGTTGATGGGGTACCTTTCTTGCAAAGCAGAATCGGCGGTCTCTGTGATCTCGGCCTCCACAACGACCCAGAATTCATCTTCGAAAGCCGACACAAACAAGCAAGAAAAACCCATCAAGATCCAACAGTTCGATTACTGTGACCTCGAAGCCGCCACCAATGGATTCTCCGACCAGAGACTTCTAGGCAAAGGTAGCCATGGTGCCGTCTACAAGGCTGTTCTCAAGGGACGCCACGTCGCCATCAAGAGACCGTCTTCGAGGAACCAAGAAACCGGTCTCGAAACCGATAACGAGATCGAAATATTGTCGAAGATTCGGATTCCCGGATTGGTTAATCTCATTGGCTTCTCTAATGGCGCTAAAGATCGGTTATTGGTTGTCGAATTCATAAGTAACGCACATTATATGATGTTCTTCACTCCAATTCTTCAAGGCCTTTGAATTGGGATCGAAGAATTCGATTGGCTTTGCAGGTTGTCAAATCCTTAGAGACACTGCACTCACAAAAACCGCCGATCACCCATAGAGATGTTAAATCTGCAAACGTGTTAATCGATAGCAATTTCAATGCAAAGTTGGGTGATTTCGGGTTGGCACTCAGGTGTGTTGATGATTATAAGCTTAGATCAACAACACCAGCTGGTACTATGGGGTGTATCGATCCGTGTTATGTGGTAGAAAAGCTATCGATGTTGCGCGTTCACCGCCTTCTATCATTGACTGGGCGATTCCTCTCGTGAAGAAAGGGAATATTGTTGCTGTTTATGATCCGAGGATTGCACCTCCCAAGGATCCTATAGTTAGGAAGCAGTTGGCCGTCATTGCGGCTAAATGTGTGAGATCCTGTAGGGAGCGCCGGCCGACGATGAACGAGGTGGTTGGTTGGTTAACTGGGATAAGCAAATTGGTTCCTTTGCATACATGGAATGGTTTCAACAATCCTTGTATGATTGTGGAAACTATGGGGCGTCCGGTTGAATCTAGAAACGCTAAAGAGAGTTCAGATGCAGTACATTCGTCACCAAGGACTCTTGAGTGGAGTTGTTGCATTGAAGTTTGGTTGTCAGAGAAAGAGACAGCACAAGCACCCAAGCTGGCTACTCGAGCTCCATTCTGCTAAGAGTCATCGACCCCTTTGAGCTGACAATTTTTTTTTGAAAAAAAAAAAACAATCCCAGCACTAAGACAAGTAGAAAACGATGACCCAGAGCAAAAATTGTTTCAAAAGATGCAGATGCGGAGAGCTGAGAGTAAGGGAATGTGGGTGTAGTTGTTAGCTGTATGTATGTATAACTCCTCTTCCAAATATCAAAAGGGCTTTGTAGGTCAGGCAGAGTTGCTTTTTCTAGTAGATATTATCGACAACACAGTTGAATGAGCCCACCTCTGCCTAATTGTTGGGTGGTTTTATTGGGGCACTGGAAAGGAAAGCCAACCCATCACAATGGTCCATGGAAAACCAAATGTCTATTTCATTCATAAAAGAGGAATCTGATCTGGATTACAATGACTTGCAACTATTTGCAATAATTAGAGGAGTATATGAAATCAGTCCCTAATTAATTAATTACTTCCCCATCAAACAAAACTTAAGACACAAAAAACAAGTCACTTTGTGAGGAAAAGGGTCATGGTTAACGTGTCTATTTAGTTTTTTTTCTCAGAAAATGTGAAACAAAAACAAAAGTACACTTTCTCAAGACTCGAGAGCTGAGGTTCAAGAATGGTCTTCGTTAAATGAGTGAGTCGAGGTCGAGTAACGTTGAAGTTGATTCGACTCACAAATTTTAAAATAGAATTCGAATCAATTTGAAATCTCACAAGTTGAAATTTTTTAAGTTCGACTCGAATATAAAATCATAAATTAAAGTTAGTAAAAACTAGAAATGAAAAATCCCTAGATTTAACTAGATCGAAATTCAAAGTCAAACTTTAAATATATGAAAATCTTATACTACATTTCTTTTTAAAAATAACACATGTTAATTTTATTAATAATTTACTTTTTTTAAAATAAAAATCTTGATATATTATATTTTCGAGTGAATATCAAGTAATTCGTTTCGGTTTGTTGAAAATTTGAATCGAGCTCGAGTTCACATCCATTCAAGTGACTATTTATTGAGCTTTAATCGAGTCAATATCAAATAGCTCACGATCTGTCTCGTCTGATTTACGGCCCTATCTCCGTCCCAACAAAATGAATGCTTTTACTTCAAGACAATTCCAAGTAAAGCCAAAAAAAAAAATTCACCACCGTCAGAAATGGATTTATTTTACAGTCAAATATCATAACTGTACCCTGAGTGGATAATCCTAAAATACAGCTCACAAAGAAACTGATGATGATGGAATGGACACTAACAAAGAAGTCAAATTACAGAGCATCTTATAAGAGAGCATTCTGTTTCCATATTAATTGATAAAAAAAAAAAGGAAAAGCATATGGGCTGTACAGGTAATAATGGTCCATGCAGAAACCAAACAATGCAACAACAGCATGTCAATCCAATTTGCTCACTAATGGAAATTCTGGTCCCACAAATGAGGGGTGAAAGTGAACTTAACTAAAGGAGCCAACCCTACTTTCTCAATACTACAAAATGTCTAATAAGAAAACAATCAAAACATCATGTCCCGAAAACTATTTCCACTAACTGCTTTGAAAAGAAGGGGGAAAAAAGTATTAATGTGAAAGGCAAGCACTTTAGCAGCAAGCATGTAATGGACCAAAAGAACCAAAATCCTGCAGATAGAAGCCATTCTTGTGCACATCAAATGAGTTATCAGTGCCCCAAGTGTGAGACCGCACGAGGAAAGAAAATTAAGGAGACTTCGGATTCCGTCCTTGGAGATTCCGTTCATTGTCATAACTTATCTTACGCTCTGCCTTGTCTTAATCATCCGCTTCAGAGTTGCAAGCCAAAAGTTGCACTCGTCCCACTCACTCGTAGTAAGAAGAACCTGTTTCAGGAAAGAGATAAAAAGTGAACAAAAATTGAAGCACTTGTAGCTTGCCGACATCATGAAGAAATCAGAATAAACATTCCTTCCCCACCATACCTGGATTTGCAGAGCTGTACCAAAATCATTATTGTCCAAAGCCTGGCAAAGCTGAATAAGTTTGTCAGAAGCATTTTTTGAAATGTCTCCACTGTTGAGTTTGGCGAATAAGGCGCCAATTTTCTTTGAATTGTCTTCTATTTCACGCTTCTTTGCTGGGTTTGCACGGGCACCTCCCAGTGCTTGAGATGTCTCATTAAAAAGTCTAGTTAAGGTAGTGATTACAGGTTTTTGGTGAGCTGAAAATAGCAAACAAGGTAAAGTCATTCCCAAAAGTATTTATATCAGCATATACAAATACATAGACATATGTATTCATTTGTTGGCTTGCTGATATCCACGAACAAATTTGATTGAATTGGAGAGTTCCAAAGCCACAGATTATATCATCAATCTTATTTAAAGCGGATTATGCAAAAACATGAGGAATAACTAGTGCAAAGAATATAAAAGAATTTCAGTTACCATTTTTGTTGACAATCTATTATATTTCGTAAACATTCTACTAAAGGGTAATAAATTAAAGACAAAGATTACATTTTTTTGGATAGTAAAGCACTTGTTCTGGAGTAATCCAGAAGAGAGGTGGACAGACCATACGTGTGGATTACCTCCATAATCCAAAAAACATCTATAGCATTAGCAACCAAGAAACCAGTAATTACCAGGTACATTTGATGTATCAGCGGTCTGAACTGTTGGTGGAGCAGCTGCAGGTGCTGCAGCTGGTTGTGTAGGTGCTGACTGTGTAGTGCTGGCTGGTTGCATTGGGCCCATACCAGGTCTTTGAACAGATGTGTAAGTAACTGGCATAAATTCCCTGGGTGCTGGGGCGGGAGCTACAACGTGTGGCATTTTGGGGCCAGGAACCAATCCCATTGGTGATGGGACAGGTGCAAATGAACCAGCTCCAGGAGGAGCAGGATAAGTAGGATCAGCAGCACCCTGAAAGCCATGCAAAATTAATTCAGTATACCAGTATTGAAATAATAACTATGGTATTGACCATAAATTAAATGTAAATATACACACAGGATATAACTGAGAACCCAAGGTAGTTGGCTGTTGGTATTGATCTGCATTTCTTAGAACAGGAGGATTTGAAGGAACAAATGGCCTAACAGTAGGCTGAGTGGTGTCAGGTGGAGAAGAAAAAGTTGTCTGGAAGAACAAGAAAAAGTAGTCAAGCATCAAGCTGTATAATAAATTCAAAAAAAAAAATCAAGCATTAAGATAAAATAAAAGCTATAAATAACTAGTAAGCCAGAGATATAGTGCTCATTTTGGATAGCAAAGAGCCTTTTCAATGCAATAGCTAATCTTCTTTCTGTAAATACTCAAGTCATTTCTTCAAAACAGAATATGCGAAATATCAAACCCAAAC